AACTGCCTGAGTATGATGGAGCTTGTACAAATAGATGATTCATTTCCTTAGAGAAAATAATGCCTCCCTTCTCACACACCCATATGCCTCAGATTTCTTAAATATTAGCTCTTATTTTTATTTGGCATAATCCCCAGTAAAATGAGTTCTGTGGTCGTTAGGGCTTAATCAGCATAATCTCACTTGTTCAATTAAGAGTGATATAATTCCTTTATGTATACTAAATAGTGAATGTGAGCTTACACTTAGGGTTTCATGTGATTCTTCAAATAGAGAACGATTCAGGTTGAGATGTATTAATGAAAGGTTGATGCAAGAAGTGCTGTTACTGCTTGGTCTGAGATGCAATAGAAGAGTTTCTAAGCAGTAGAGGCATAGACATCTTTACCACAAAAATTTCTGTTTGCAAGAAATGGTGTCTTAGTCCTGTCCGAAAGAGCAAAGACTGAAAAATTGCATACGCTGAATGTTCATGACAGTAAAGCTTCATACACATTATTTTAAGGTTTAGACTTGATTCAGGATTTTCATTTTTATAGTGTAATAATAAATTTATTCACATTTTGTCATCTGCTTAATTTTGTGGGAAATAGTTAATAATTCAGGAAGGATTGGAGCACTGCTTGTATATGGTACTGCCTTTTTCAGCCTGGTACAGTTAAAATCCTTAAGTGAAACATTACAACTAGAGTAGCTGATCAGGAATAGATTTTGTTAGCAAGTTCTGCAATGTTTCCACTGTTTTTTCTGTGTCCGTCTGGGCCCTGAGGTAACTACAAAATAGGGATTTTTGGTCTGTTGTTGTTAGTAGTTCACAGGAAGTAGGAAATGTTCTAGGACAGCAATAGCTGACATCAGAACAGGTTTGAGACTTGTGACTAAAGACAGCGGTGCCAAACCCAGCTAGAGCAGTGCTCACTTCATTAATCTTTTTGTCTTCTTGTAGTTATGTATTTCTGCTTGTCAGATTGGGAAACACCTATAATTATGGATGTATCTTTGTACTGCTTTGGAAGGTTATCTGGGCAAGCCTGTGCTCTCCTCTGGTATTGCAGCATTGGCAGGATTGCTGTGGTCTGATGTTTCCCAAGTGCTTTGTTAAAAGATTATTCTGCTAACAGGTGTGTTCCTTCCCAGGTAGAATGCCATGTTTACAGTTTCTGTGGAAAAGCAGACGTTGGCTGGGTTATTTGGTGGATGCCACTTAGCTTCAGTAGAATCATTAGTGGAATTCAAAGAACATTATGGTGACTGAAACTGCTAGACAAGACTAGTTATTTACTTACAAGTTTTTCTTTGATAAAGACAGCTCAGGCAGAAGGGCTTGTAATATACTTAGTTGACCTTACCATGCCCTTGAGCAGCCTAGATGTAACATAGATGAGGGATGTGTATTTCCCTTATGTCTGTACATCTCAGTTCAGAGTCTGGATGTCATGAGTTCTGCCATACAGTTTGTATAGTAATTTTCAATCTTCTCCTGCTCAGAATTGTGGTGGTTTTTTTTTTGTGTGTGTGTGTGTGGGGGGGTGTTTGTTTGTTTGTTTGATTGCGTTTTTTTAGAGCCTAATATGCTCCTCTGGTCATAAAAGCTATTCCAATTAAAAGGACTCCAATAAAAAGGAGCTGTCATCTGGCCCCGTTCTGGTGTGCTTGTGCCTCACTTTATAGTGTACCCTACATGGAGGACAAACAGTTGATGACTTCAGAAAAACAGATTTTAGTTTTATTTGGGCAATGGGGAGCATAGTTACTTTCATAACAAGAATCTTATCAAGTAGTTATTATTATGTGATGTAACTTACTGGCAGTCAAGACTCATCCTACTAGACCCCTGGCAGTATCATCTCTCTGTGTATACTTGTTCCAGTACCCCAAATGTACAAGTAATCGAGTTATGTATATAGAATATTTTGCATCTGATGTGCCAGTGAGCTCTGATACTGTATTGTTGGATGTTTCAAGAGATAATGTTGGGTGTTTTGAGAGATAATGCACTATTGCAGTCATTTCTTATTTCCACCATCTCAAAGAGACTGTAGTCCATCAAGTCTTCAGGAAGAGGATCCTAACCTACCTGACAGTGACTCTGATCCCTGAGGATGTTTATCATATTTAGGAATAACTACCACCCACCTCCCAAACCTGGGAAGCCTCTGTGTGCCCTTTGCAAGTTCTGCAATGACTGCAATGTTGTAAGAGAAGTATCTGTTGTTTATGTACTGAGTTCACTACCATAAACACTGTTTTGGGTCAATGAGATACGACTTTCTTAAACTGTTAAGTATTTTACCAGCTTTTAATGGTTATAATGTTATTGAAAATCAGGTTATATACAACTATTTACTGTAAAACCTGTCAGTCTTATGGTGTTATGGATAATCATGTCTTTATTTCCAGTAAAATAGCAAAATTGTTTCTTAAAGTGTGTTAGAAGACCTGTCCGACCCATTATACAAATATTAATTCCTAGTACTCTCCAAACCTCTGAGGAAAAAGCCTTCCATTACTTTCCATCTTTGATTTGCAAAACTAGAAATGGAACAGATTAAAGGACCATCTCAGGATTTGGGAAGTTTTGCTTTTGTATCTGGGTTTTGTGTTGAGTATCCTCCCCTGGGATAAATGGATATTCTTGTTATAAGTGTCTTTTATGTAGTATGGACACAATTACTACATCTCAAACAAGAATATTTGTTTTTTAAGAAAGGGAAGCAGATTTTTTTTAAAAATCTTTTATCTGTCTGTTAAAGAGTGCTTTTTGCACAGCACTTCTTTTGCTAGATCTCCTCTTTTCCGACATTAGGCATAGTCGGAGAGTCAGTGACTTGGAGGAGGAGAAGAATTAACAGAATTGACCTATTCATGTGAGAAAGTACTTGTGATGAAAGAAAAGTGGGACATATACACATGCGCACACAAGCTAAGCAGAAAATGCTGACCAGTTTTTTATGTTGACCGTATGCTCTCCATTTACCAGTGATTCTGGAAATGTTACTTCATTGAAAGAAATGTGACTAGAAGTTCTTTCAGGAATCATGATAATAAAGAGTTCCAGGGAAGCTAGAGGAAGAAATTGTTGACTATTTGGAGAAATACATCTCAATTCCAGTTTGATCTCTCTTGAATTTCATCAAAACCCTTCCTGCTTGATGTTGCAGCATCAGTGGTTATTAGCGCATCATTTTGTCAGCATAAAGTTGTTTTTCTGGAAACAGCCATTAAGGAATCATGCACTGGTTTGCACTGGATTCTGTGGGCAAAGCCGCTGACTGTTAATGAGCTCTTGTCTGGCAGCCAGGAAAGCAATAGAGAATGGAAAATACCAGTATAAAAAGAGAACCAGGAAAAAAGGGGCAGACTGCTTTATAGAGCATGCTTTCTAAGCCTAAACCCCATTGATTTAAAAACAAGTTAGATACTTAGAGTTTTGCTTTTTTGTGTCAAGGGCAATGACTGAAACTTGGTAAAGTCATGAGAGCAAAAGATATTAAAAAATGGAATCACGTTAGGTCTTTGGGATGAGCAGGAGGGTTTTCATGAATCTGACATGCTTCTAAAAAATAATACTTGGTTCCTTTGCAGATAATTTATATGTACTTTGGTCTCCAAAAGGTCCATCTCTAAGATAGCAAAGCAGAGATGGAGAGGCAACGTGCCCTAATGAATCTGAGAAGCCTCAGAGAAGTTCCCTCAGACCACAGTGTTTCCTAGATCCTGCTTTCAGTTCATCATTCCTCTTCAGCATGTTTTTTTTCCATTTTTATCTCTAAAAAAAAGTTCCTTTCTCCTAGGAAACATACGAATGCAGTGAAAGAAGGAGAAATGGATTGGGTTAAGCACAGTTTCATGTTCAAGTACCCTGTATGTGTCTGATGCAAGTGAGCTGGTTAGATGGAAGCAAGATGCCTTTCCTTCCTTATTCTGTTTAGTGTCTCATGCACTTTCAAGATAAATTAATCCACAGGGATACTGTGTCTAGACTGTCTATTTACTGTAGAAAGGGAGAACCTGAAGCTAAAGAGGCTTGGGAACTTCCAAGATAGGCTGCTTGTGGAAAGCTTTGCAAGTGTTAGTCTCTGAGTCAAGGGCAATTGAACTGTAGAGACCCACCTCCCAAAGAGGTCTTGAAAATGGTTATATTCCTGAAGAGTGTAGCTATATAGTTTTTTAGTATAGAGAATAGCTGCTGCTGAGACCTAATTAGGCATGATCTGAGCATGGAGTTCATAACTGATATTGAAGTTGTTTCTGTAGGTTTGTAATATTTGCTGGTCTTCTCAGTTGTAGAAGAGAATGTCTGAGATACTTAAAAGGAAATGTGAGAAGGCTTTCAAGATGTTCTTTTTTGTAAATGAACCTCCAGAAACAACACTTCCTTCTAATTCTGAGTCATCACTTGACTTCAAAATTGTTTATCCCAATTATTAAAAATTGTAGTTGTTTTTTAAAATTTACTTAAGCAAGATCACCTATTCCTGTTACCTACTTAAACTCCTTTTCCACTTCTGCCATGCTCCTGCTGTCAACATTTTGTGACAAAGGTGTGGTGGGACAGTATATCATGATTTTTTTTTTTCCTTATTCATTGAGTTATTATTAGTAAAACTGCATTATAAGACACAGGCATTCATGTGGGCTTTACAGGATGTAATTTAAATCTTGCAAAGCTTTACTGTCAGCAGTTCAAATCACTGGGCTTTCTTCATGGTGTACGCTGTTTTCCATTTGGTTCCTCAAGCGTGCTAAGAAACCTGATCTTGTTTCTTAGGTGCAGATTTTGAAATGAAGGTTTACACCTGTGTGGCAAAGCATAAAATATGACAGGAATGCTGTAATATTGGTACATCATAAATCTTAAAATTTGCATTTGGAGCCTCGGATCTCACTCCTGGTGAGCTAACGGTTCTAGTGATCAGACAGAGAATTAACGCATCATGACAATCCCATTGTTTGCTTTTCAGTCAATGTTTAAAATAATGATTTCTGTTGCTGCTTTCCAGTTTAACAAATGGCGGCACAGTGTGTGACAAAGGTGGAGCTGACGATTGCCTGCACCAGTCTCTTGGATAAAGATGTTGGTTCCAAGTCAGACCCACTGTGTGTGCTTCTCCAGAACACGAGTGGTCAGCAGTGGTATGAGGTACAGCAGAATGCTTCTCATGAATCCCTTAAAAACACGGTCAAGCTTGTTGGGCCTTTTAAAACACCGGAATATATGATTTCATTAAAATATTTTAATATATACCAGCGTCTCTGAATACTTTTCATTAGATTATCTCTGTCACAGTTATACAGGCAGCACGCTAGTAATAATTTTCTAATAAATACTTATTCCTGTCTGATGTGTAAGCACTATTTCCCCAGCCATGGATAAGCAACAGAAGAAGCCTTCTAAGTGCTTACATGTGCTTTTATAAATACAGGACTCTAAAACTAGGGTCTCATCCTGGATTTGATAATTTATCGTTTTTATGTTGGTCTTCCCTGTGCAAGAATAGATGCCACTTACAGGGAGCAACGGAAAACTGGACTTCAGATATCTCTGACTTAGAGCAGTGGTTTTTGTAATATAATGTGGTTTTTTATATTTGATGAAAAGTTTCTAGGAAGCTAGGGCCTTATATTTTATAATAACAAGAACTTTTGAAAGTCTTTAGTAATATGTTATTTGATTGGAGTGCTTGGTTGGTGGAATACTAGATAAAGTGATATCTTTCTAACTGCAGGTTGATCGCACAGAAAGAGTTAAGAATTCCTTGAACCCAAAGTTTGCCAAGAAATTTCTAATTGATTACTATTTTGAGCTTGTTCAGAAACTTAAATTTGGAATATATGACATCGATAACAAGACCTTTGATCTGAGTGATGATGACTTCTTAGGCGAATTTGAATGTACGCTGGGACAAGTAAGTATGCAGATGATTTCCCTTAGAATTAAGAAAATACAAGTTACTGCAAGTCATTAACCACTTCAACTTAAATGTATCACTATGTTTTTCTGTAGTTGGAGTACTCTTTAAGTTGGCTAGAATTCCCTTATTTGTTTTTTTTCAAGCCTCAGTTCAATGAATAACCATGTTATTTGCAAAAGATTTTGAGGTGATGCCCTGAAATATACTTTAGGATGGTGTCTGAAAGTAAGAGCACTGTCAATGAGCATAGGGGTGTCTTTATTTAGTCCAATACTCAAATTCTAGTTTTTATGCTTTGTGAAAAGAGAATTGGTGTATAGCAATGTAAAAGTGTACACAAGGGTCATGTTAACCTCGTAATTTGATTTTCACTCAAGACAAGCAGTGATTGTGGTTCTGCTTGCTGTTGATTTTGCTCCTGTTTCCCTGTCACATTCTTCTATTGCTGCTGTCCTAATCAGGCAGCTTCTTTGTCACTTATTCTTTCTAATAGATCATTTGAAGGCACTTCTCAGGAGAGTCTTCTGGGATTTTTTTTTTTTTCCCTCCCATGTCTAAAATGTTTTTAAGTGCATTATAAAGTGCATTGTCCAATGAAAGTTTACAACTGTTTAAAATCAACCATTCATTCCTAAAGTAAAAAAGGACCTATGGAACGAGTAGACACACTTCTGAGAAAGCATTGCCCGAAGAGGATAAAATAAAATCAGCTAGAAGCACTGCAGGGGCAGACTGATATTTGTTTCTGTTGACAAACTGTGTTTATAAATCTGTTTGCTGAAGCTGTTCATGAAATGTAGCTTGCATGAGTTTGAATGGTATGTATGAAAAACTTCAGAACAGTTTGAGACTAAATTATGGTATTGTTTTTGTCCATGTATGTTTATCATATTACTAGAAGACATTTTATTTCATATTGCTCCTCAAACTTTGCATGTGTTCATCTGCGTATGTATTTTAAATTTTTTTGTGTGTCAGGTATTACCTGTTTATTTATATGAGACCATGGGAAGTAAATGTAATACTGTCATCTTCTTGATGAAGGAAAAAAATCCTAAAATGAAAATACCTCACTATTCATTCCTTTGAAAATCTACTAAATAATAATAGTAGATTAATGCTTCATACTCAAATTTTGTCTTGGCAGATAGTTTCTAGCAGGACTCTAACAAAACCATTAGTACTCAAAAATGGCAGACCTGCTGGGAAAGGAAGCATTACGGTAAGAAAATTCAGACAATAAATATCTTCAGTGTTTATTTTTAGATGTTCTTGTGGAGGTTTTTTTTAGTTAATTAGTGCCTTGAACACACCGTGTCTAGTCTACAGTGCTGTAAGAAGTGTCTTAAAGCTCTTTTTTTTACCTTCACTAATGTGTCTTTGTCACTCGAAGGAGAGCAGCCCACCCTTCTGCATCTATAAGTCTCGTTGCATCCCTCTAAAATAATTAGGACGTCTGATACGCTACTCTTTGTGCAGTATCTGTAATTGTCAGTGTCATTCTCTAGTGAATCCCAATGTCAAATCATATTGTTCTCTCACTTCCCACTATTTTTTAGTGCTTCATCTGTGAGCAAACATTTTTATTTTTTTAATGGACTTGTCGTAGGATCATTGTGAATATGAGAAAACTATGTAGTTCCTGAATAGAAAACAAGTATTTTATTTTGTTTGCATATTAGATTACAGCAGAAGAAGTGAAGGATAACAGGGTGGTTGTATTGGAAATAGAAGCAAGGAAGCTGGACAATAAGGTATTTAAGTGATTGCTGATTCTTTGATAAAGTCATAAAATCAGAATCTTATTAAAGCAGGAGACGTTACAATGATCATTCTTATTTTTTTGCTGAAATAATTAAATATGTTAAGAATTTTTTTTCATACACTAAAAAACAAGTTGAGGAAAGATAACTTCAGAGTAACTGGATGAACTCCTTAGTAAACTAACTTCATCGTAGTCTTTATTCTATTAAGTATTCTTTTACCCATACTGTCAGGTATTTAGATGTGGATACTACAGAACTTTTATGCCTAACTTGACAGATAATATCCTGTTTTCTTTTTCTTTTTTTCAGGTGATAATGTAATCAGACTTGCATTTCTTTATTTAAAGCTTTTGTTCCTTTAATATTTAGTTTACTTTCTGTTAATCTAAGTGTTTTTTAACTACCATGTAATGGCATTCATGCCACAGGCTGTTCTGGGATAATGGCATGTTCTTTAAATACAGGACTTCTTTGGAAAGTCCGATCCTTATCTGGAATTCCACAAGCAGACTGGAGATGGAAACTGGGTGATGGTTCACAGAACAGAGGTAGGATATTTTCAGTCAACAACCTACAAATTCAGGTTATTTGCCGTGTCACAGCACTAGTGGTACAGTGCCTTACAAAAAAAGAAGAAAATGGTCCAGTGGTTCACGTGCAGAGCAATTAGAAATTGCCTCAGCTCTTCCACTGATGTTCTGGTAGCCTGGGAAGTCTATGATATATACTATCCTATTTTAAAGGAAAATACTTTTGGTTTTAAAGAAAAAAAAAAACACCACACAACCAAACACTCTGCAATGTAAAAGAAAACAAATGTTTTGAGAAGGTGCTGCATAATCATAGAGGGAGATTAGTCTCGGTGCTACTCTGAGGGTAGAGTTTGGGTGTTCCCATGACCGTGCTGTTCTTATATCGGTGTCAACCAGCTGTACCGTTTACTAACTAAAGTAATTATACTAAATGCTTGCATAGCAAGGACAAGCCAAGGATAATGCTGAGTGAGGGGAAAACCTGCTTGAGCAGCAGCAGCATCGTTCCACCCAGGAGGAGGTGCAGAGTTCCCATGATAGCAGCTGACAGAGTCAGAGTAGGTTCCAAATGGTCTCGCTGCAGTGGAAGCTCAGGCCCAAGGCACGACTGAGGTGTTCACGTGTTTGGAGTGGTCACAGTATTAAGTCTGAAGCCCTGATGTCAAAGAAGTATAAATCCTTTTTGTGTCAGATTTATAAAAATAGTTTCTCTCATGAGGTGGTGGTTCTGCATAAAACGTGTCTCTTTCATGAGAATTTCAGTCATCTTCAATTCCAGTAATGAATCCAGAATTTGCTGTTCCAGCCTAGAACTGGCTGGAGTTTTAGTTCTTTGCTACAGATTTTAAAAAACTCCTTTTTATGTTGCTAACTATTATTTTCATAAACTATTGTTTTCATTTTCAAAGAGATATTTCTTTCTTTGTACTCCTACAGTGCTGGAAGTATGAGTATTATTGGATTTTATTAATTAAGTATTGCTTGTTATGTTTAGGTTCTTGTGCTTTATAACGTCGTTATTTGGTGTATTTGCAATATTACAGATACTTTCCAGCTGACAAATCCTGAAGGTTCTTCATTATTATTCTTAAATATCTCAACTTGAGAGATCTCAACTTGAGAGATCTTTCTGCTTAACTGTACCATGAATTTCTTGAAGGAATATTTCCATAAGTGGCATTTTAGGATAAATATAAACTGAAGTGAATTGTAATCTCCAGAGCGTTGATGTTTTCAGAAATTCCAATGTAATATTTTTTCCACATTTTTTTGTTAAGTCACACTTTTATGTATGTTCGTGTATATATATATATGTGTCTGCTTATTAAAAAAAAAGCTAATATTTTTGTAAAAAGATTTCTTTTTTTGCAGCGCAGTAGCTGAATAATATAGTAGATCACAGTGCAGCCTAGGAAAATATGAGATTGAAAAATACTGTTCTTTTTTGGATAATGGTACTGCCTATTAAGAAAGTTTAGTTTGTTTATGTCCCATATGTTAGGGTTTGGACTGCAGGAATTGATTGACAGCCATATTAGTCAGCTGGTTTTGCTTACAAAAATCATGGCACAAAGGTATGAGCCACTGCAATGATGACTTGCCACCCTTGTGAACAATACTATATACGTATTTTTTTTAAACAGGTTATTAAAAACAACCTGAATCCTGTTTGGAGGCCCTTTAAAATCTCTCTCAATTCCCTGTGTTACAGTGACATGGATAAGTCAATCAAGGTAATGTATATGAAATGTGTGCATGAATTAATGCATAAAAAAATTATGCTATGTAATAAATGGAAGATATGTTTTCAAGTTATTGCCTCTTTTTGTTTCAATCTGAATTGAAAGTATTAGGTTTCTTATTCTTATTTGAAAGTTGTGGAGATATAACTGCACTCCTTAGGAAAAAAAATAAAAAATATCACAACTGTGATGTGTTACTGATAAAAGTTGGTCTTTGAAAGTCTGGGAAACCAGTTGAACAAAAGTAGCTTTGAAACATCCAATTTATATACAGTTCTAGTGTTGCATCAGCCAGTATTGGTCGTGTTAAGATATTGTGTAGCAAAAGATGTGTTATAAAGGCTAGAGTATGTGTCTTGGTTTGAGCTAAAAACCCCAATTCTTTTTAGTGATTTTTACTTTCCGGTTTAGTCTCTTCTCAAAGGCTGCATGTTCTGAAGTCAGCAGCATGTTTTTGCAGACAGTGTGTGCTACTGGCAGTGATAACACCTGATGTTTACAGTCACTGCCTGGGACTGGGATGCAGAAAGGCTCTGGCTTATGGTTAGTCCTGTAGTGACCAAGGCCACTGCTGGCTCTTGTGTGCCACGCTGGGGGCCAGGAAGTAGGAAGGGTCACGAGGAAGTAAAAGGTTGCACCTCCAAGGGGTAATAGGCAGGACAGGTGACCAACAAGAGAATTCCATAACTTATGTCGTATATAGTGATCACGAGAGTTTCTGGCTCTTTCCCCTTGATCTGCAGTGGCCGGTGTCCAGGGAGGACTCTGTCCGATCTCCTGCTTTTGGTCCAGATCCTGAGTTCCCGTATCCAGCTCCCTTCATCCAGCTCCCTTTATCTGCCACTGAGCCTGAGGCTTCCCCAGTCTCACCTGCTCTGCAGCATCAGTGGGGAGTGCTATCGTGGGAGGAGGGGTTCGTGATTGGGTTCAATATCGGGCTTATATGTAGTTGTGTATAGTTCTTTATTTTTATCATTTCACTATTATTTCCATTATTGTTTCATTAAAGCTGTTCTAGTTTTCTCTTTCCTAACCCATAAATCTCCGCCTCATTCCCTTTTCCTTCCCGTTTGTGGGGGAGAGAAGGGGCTAGAGAGCGTCAGTCTGTATTTAGTGGCCAGCCCAGCCCTAACCCACGGCAGTGCTTTGTTGTATATTAGGGCTCTTGTAATACTTTACTACCAGTGCCACAGGTAACACAAACAAAGTGCTTATTATACTGCCTGATACGGTTAATTGCATTTAATATACCAGTTGGGATAGCAGATGTAGACCAGATGTAACAACTGTTTCTCTTCAGATGAAACTGAACTTTCTGTGAGAAAGGCAATTAAACCTGTGAAAAGATATTTCTACCAGGACTGGTCTTTTTATGCATTGTCTCTTCAAATCATATATTAAATAAATTATAAATTAGTGTCCAATGATAGGACAAGGAGAAATGGATTTAAATTGAAGGAGAATAGGTTTAGATTGGATCTTAGGAAGAAATTCTTCAGTCCAGGGGTGGCAAGACTCTGGAATAAGTTGCCCAGAGAGGTTGTGGCTGGCCCCCCCCTTGGGGGGGTCTAGGCCCGGGTGGATGAGGCC